AAAACGCTTTTTTATTTTCTTTTTTCAAGGACTGAGGTGGAGGGTTCATTATGCGAGTGGGTTCATTACTCGAGTAAATACGGTAATTACGGCAGTTGTATTCGTCAATGTCTCAGCAAAAGCAGGAGAACGATGAAAGAGCGCTCGCACCTGGCTGCTCGGCTGAATGCTTGCAACCAATGGCAAGGCTTCAATCATACCATGCGACTTCAAAGGTCCACTTGCCACACTAGAATGGCAGTGGGAAATCATTTTTTGTTGCATTTTCAGCGAGAATGCCGTGCTGCCGAAGTGGCCTCAGGCCTACATGCCCGCGAAATTTCAAGAGCCACCGAAGCTGCAGAGTGAAGTGCCCCGTGCGTGAAAATAGGGTGATTTCACACTTTCACAAGTTACTGCAATGCTTTATTTGTATTTTTCGATAACTTCTATTTCAGTTGTTCTCAAATGGGGGTCCGCGAAGCCATTTCTATGATCCACGATACCCTCACCCGCATTTTTCTTCAAGTGTGACTGTGCCACGTATTGATGAACTGTCCAAAATGAAGTGATGTGGCACTTTTGTTTGATGTTTTTGGTACAATAAGGGCACCTGTTTCACGCTCCAGTTGTGTTAATTTACCTGCAACCCCCCCCCCCCCCCTTCACTGCAAGGGGTCCCCGATCCCTTCTACCAGTATACAAGGGGTCCCCGACACATACATGGCTGAAAACCACTGTTCTATTCGATTCTCAGCTTTGATTGTTCAACATATTAAGGAAAAGGTTTGGAGGATTACAAAACACAAGAAAACACAAGATAAGTTTTCCCCAAACAAAAAAAAAAAATCTCGCTTTCTCAACTTGCACCTCCCCTTAAAGGGACACTCCCACACTATTTATTGCCCGATTTTTTTTTTATTCGTGGGTTGTGTAGACTGATGTACAGACACATTAATGCAGCAAGAACGACAGTGACAATGGCACGCAGTCCTAAGTTATTCGATTCAAAAAATTTAAAATACAAGAAAAAAATGCTACCCTAAACTTGATTTTTGAGGGGTCACCTGACCACATTTCACTCACCCAATGACATTGATTGGGAAGCTCCCCCAATGAAATGAGCTGGGAGGTCCCACATAGAGGAAGCTTATACACCATTGTTGCTTGTTCTTAACAACGCCACAGTAAAAAGCATGGTGCCTGAGGCTTGACTGTCTCAGAGTAAGGTATTTACTGCTGTTTTTTACAACATTCCGAGTCACTCCCTCCTTTTATTCTGAGAAAGAAACTTGTGCAACGAACAGGGCAGTATATGAACATCTGCCTCGCACAAGGCAAAAATCCAGTCGCAAAATGATAGCCAGCGTCTCTGTCGTTCTTTGTAGTCACAGTGACATATTTTGTTGCGGTCCCATCTTTTTGTGGCTCGATGAAAAAGCACAGAGAAGAAAATTTACACAGATCGGTAATCTTAGATCCTACGCCACGATCCCCTTCAGCATTACAGTTATCCAATCATATGGCGGTAACTATTCGGCATCGTTTCAGCCCGCAAGTTCTGGCGAGCGCCATTACATGGTGATATAGTGGGCAGCAATGCAGTGACTTTATTGCGTGATTAAATTGTACATCATTTGATATCGGCGCTTAACCCATGCTAAAATTATCCCCACCTATGGGTCAACACAAACCACAAATAAAAATCACAGCATATCCATGGGGTTAATGATGACGAGTGGGCAAAGATCCAGAAAGAATCATCGGTTATACTGTGAATCTTCCATGTATAATTAGCCCAGTCAATCATGGTGTAAAGACATCACGAGAAACACTGTATGTGTATACGTAGAAAGTAACTTTTATTTGTTCTTAGAGACGATGAATGGCTTGCGATATCCCTTCATTGTGACGGCTTTATGGTCCGTGAAATCAAGGGTGAGCACTTCCTGTATAGGTTGCAGTGGAAAATTTGCAAATACTAGGCCAATGCATGTTCTTCGGATCGTGGTTGGTTTCATATGGTCACACGATATACATCTATGCGTCCGTCCGGGAGTCAGTCTGTTCGTGCATCCATTTGTCTGTACGTCTGCTAGTCTGTCCGTCTGTCCATGAATGCGTCCATCTAGTGAACCCTCCAAGCACCGCCATCTCCCATCTCGCATCTCATGTGGCACATACCCACTCTAGAGTGGTTATGTGCCACCGGTGGCTACATACATCACCAACAACAAACCCCATGGGATGTACAGACCCATGCCCCGAGGAGCTTTGCCCCTAAAAATAGGTGCCTCAGAAGTGTTCGTGGGCCCCTTTAAAGGAACAGTGGGAGTGGGGTTAGGGCACTCAATAACAATCTTCATTACCAATGCCACAAGACACCTCACGGGCAGTTTAGCTAGCAAGGCTATTGCAAATGTGATGAATTGTGGCCGTGACTGTGCAAATTCATTACAGAAGGACTTATAATGCAAACAAATCTCAAGTTACCGTAATTACTCGAATCTAACGCGCACCTTTTTTCCGGTTAAGCGAGTTCATAAATCGCAAGCGCGTTAGAATCGAGTACGAACAAAATAATTACGGTCAATCTATTGCCATCGCAAATCCAAAATGGCCGCCCCCTACGTGCGTCGGCATGGTGCGTAGGCTATTTCTGCCTATGTGTTTACCATGTGCGGCACTTCGTACGTGTGCTGACGAGTTCGTCATCTAGTAGTGCATTAGCATCGACGACGTGAAAGGGCCGACTCCAAAAACTCGAGTGCACCACGATGCCGCTTTTAAAAGAAAAGTCATCGCGTGTGCAGAAACGGACGGAAATCTGGCCGCATCGCGGTCGTTCCCGAAACGTGCGTGCGGGACCGGCGGAAACAAAAGCAGAAGATTGTCGACAGCAAAGCTTCACGCAAAGGCTTTAGTGAACCACAGCAGGGTCGGTTTCCGCAAATTAAAGAGCTGCTCCGCGAGTATGTGGCTTGAGCAGCGAGCGTCACAGCGGCCCGTGACGACAGAACTGCTCCAAGTGCGGGCTATGCAATTAGTCTTAGAAAGAAGTCTAATGCGGAGCCAGTTTAAAGCGAGCAGGTGCTGGCTAATTAACTATATGAAGAGGAAAGGCTCTTCCCTCCGAAGGGGAACATGCATATGCGAAAACTTTTGCGGAGAAGTACGATGGAAAGCTTTACAGTTTTCAGAGGTTCGTCCTAAACTTGCGGCGCAACAACGGCTACCTGCTTGGGCAAATCTGGAATGCCGATCAGACGCCTCTTTACTTCGACATGCCTGGCACCACAACTGTCGAGAAGGGGGCGAAGCAAGTTCCCGTGCTGACATCGGTCCACGGTAAAACTACAGTGACGGCAATGCTCTGTTACACGTCAGATGGGCACAAGCTTCGCCCATACCTCATATTTAAATGGAAGACAATCCCGAAAGGAATCGTTTTTTCGAGTGGTGTGATCGTGCGGGCCAGCGAAAAAAAAATGGGTGCGCGTTGCAATCGATGTCTTACTTTTTTTTTTTTTCGCGGTGAAAATCGGGTGCGCGTTACAATCGAGGGCGCGGTAGAATCGAGTAAATACGGTATTCGTTGGCCTGCTGTTTTTAATGGACTTAAGGTCGCTTAATTAAAACTGCCCAACTGCACTAATTCAATTTAAGGGGGATGCGGGCGCTAAAAAGTGATTATGAATCAATAGGAACGAAACTGCGCCGTCTTGACCAGCCTTTTATGCTGATTTGAAATCTGTAATTAGTTTTTTGTAGCTGCACAAGTTAAAAAAATAGCGGTTAAAAAAAAAGTTGTGGCTGCTCCTTATGGGCCTTTTCGGCAATTTCGGCATACTGAAACTTTCCGTTTCAAGTGCATGAAAAATGACCCCAACGCCTAGGCTATGCTGTAGGGTTGATGCTATTTCCAGTCATTTGCTAACACTGCGTAGGTAAGAAAATGAATGAACACTCACTGTTTTTTTTATTTTTTTTTCCCTGTTCACTTTCATTAATATCTTCAATTATAATTTGTAAAATGATGCTAGAGTAATACAAATAGCATCATCCCCTAGATAGTTTAAACACGAGTAAAATGATACCAAATATGGCATTTTTATTCAAGAACAAAATGGGAAAAACCCTCGTAAGGCTGAGTGCATTGAGCAAAAGCATCAAACAGATAAAGATGCATTTGAAGTTTCAGACAGCTCTAACTGATGTTAGCGAACATGTTAGAGAACATGAACTGATGTTAGATACCCACGTTATATCATTTGATAGGTATAATGTGTATTAGAAAAAGCAGGGGGGGGGGGGGGTCTTCAAATTGCACTAGCTAATGGGAGGCTCTACAGAAGGGGCTTGCCTCACGCATGCGCTCTGGCCAATGAATGAGCGTTCAGAAACTAGCCTTTAGAAAAGGGACAATAGAGGGCGTTCATGAAGCGACACCATTTTGAAACGCAGCAAAATTCACAAAAAGAAAACAGCTTCTAAACAAGCCTAAAATGGCAACAATCGTCTAGCAGCTGCACGCACGGGAAGTTTGAACTAACTTTGCCTCTTGCGATGCATTAATCAGCTCCCGCTGCATCTAGAATAATAGTTTTAATCTATTTCTCAGGCGCAATTGGTGATAATCTTTTGGGGGCAGCTGCCTGGAGGTACAGACATGCCTAAAATGTGTTTTTTCTCATAACTGTCTTTTTGGCCATTTTTCACTATTCTAAGACCCGCATCCCCTTAAGATGCAAGCTTCTTGCTTGCCGATACCTAGAAATATCTGCCGCCTCTTGCTGAAAACTTGCATATTCATGTCACTAATATTCATAAAGAGGCCAAAAGCCTGCTTATAGAATGTCTAAACTGGCCAGACTGCACACCCCAACAATTGCACGGTGAATGAGGTAGATGGGAAAAGACATGACATGCACTTTCCTTGTTATCTACCCCTTTCACTTGCCTTGTTATCTACCCATTTCTGTGTTTTTAATACTCGATGGAATCTGCTAAGAATGACGCACCTGCCACGTGGGGGGCTTGGCCGTGGTCTACGTCTTTCTGGTGATGCCGAGGCCCCGGAGCCAGAGGACGATGCTGACCCACTTCGTCGGCGGCCACCCTGCCACACAAACACCAAGAAAGGCCTTCGCATAAGCTCTGCGAAAACCTGCCTGTGGAAGTTTTCAATTAAATAGACAGAAATACAAACACGACTTCATTAGGCAGCTCCAGCACAATGAACAGACAAGATGCTGAAGAATTTAGGAGAAGTTAATCTTTCCAAGGCCTCTTAAAAAGTAAGAAATAAAACACCAACCTCGTTAGGCAGAACCAGCATGATTAACCTAAATTGCTAAGGAATCGAGGTAAAGTACAAATTTCAATAACTGCGTAAATTTAGTGAGACAAATATATTGCAAAATACAGCTTCAACCTATTGCCTTTGATCACATGTATGATGTGAAAATTCTAAACATCTATCTGCCTCAAACTACAAATAGCAGACATGTTAATTTCACATACACTGTTCACTCCGATGATGTATGTGATGATGGAAAATCGATACATGCACCTAAGGCAGACACAAGGCTCTTCGCGTGTTTCGCACGTTAACAGATTTTGTAACAACACAACACACGTTTTAATAAAGGAGGTCTATGCAAACAGGCAGATACCCACTAACCCGCCTGCGTCCAGCTCCTCTCGGCTTATCCCCAGGTGGCCTTCGAGCAGTCGGGCTCTCGTCTGAGCTGCTTGCCGACTCCTCCTGGCCCTGAGAGCGATAGTGGCGCTTCTGTTGAACAGAGTTCTTGCGCTGGCCCAGTTTTTCTAGCAGCGGAGAGACCTGAGCACACCAATGGGGGAGAACCAGTGAACACGTCCTCCTTTACGGATGTACATGGGCTCCGTCAATACATCACTGAGCAACACCTTGCAAGTCTATAGCAACAAAAGACTGAGGAGCTCCCATATTGTCCCACAAATGAAGGTGTGCTTAAAGGTCCTGTTCCTGAGTCATTCCTGCACTGTGCAACCATGGTGCATGAAAAAAAAAAAAAAACATGAGCTTGGAAAACTCTACAAGTGCAGTTGATGAGAGTCATTTTAAATTTGCTTATATGTTTCATAACTTTTGAAAGAAACAACAAAAGCTGTCCTTGGCGTGCATCCTGCAACACTCACAGAACACTAAGTGCCGACTTGCTGGACTTTTGTGAACATTCAAAACTGGTTATTACTCTGAAGAAACATCAGAAATATTGTTAAGTACAGTGGAACTCTCCCGACCTACATTTTACGATGAGTCTGTTCAACCCTGGCAAAATTCCCCCCAAAACAATGTACAGTATGCTTATAATGAAACTCGCAGAAGTCGCGAGTATTTGCACAATAACCGGTACCACACTACAGTTCAACCCGCTTATAACAACATATCACTTATAGTGACCGTATTTCCATGCACTTATGATTTTCTTATGCTACCCTTCAAAAATGAGGCCACATACAGTGAACATTTCTCAAAACCTCCTACTTTTACATCGAACACTTACGACACGGTCGGCGTAAAATATGGCGCATACAAAGTGAAAAAATATGTTAAAACAGGCATTCTAAAGCATGTGATAGGTATGGGCTCACGCGTTCCCCGCTGCAGTTTACTTGTGACGATATTGTAGACCATGGCGAGCACCACACGCAGATTCCGGATGTTGCAGAGGTCACTCCCTTCCCAGACGTTTATTCACCAACCGAATTAAATTTTTTTCTATTCATTTTTCGGCAAAAAGACACACAAAACATCGCAAGAAACAAGAGAAGGTGGGGTGGGTGGGACTTAATTGCAAGCGCCCACATCGGCGTTGCGATCTTATAGTGGCTTCGAGTGGCCGAACACAAGAGGGTAGTGTTTCCCACTAAGGTGAGAGTATCAAAGAATCAACACAACTAGCAGGATTTATTTCCGTCAAAACAACTCACGTATGTCTTCTTGAGACACATGTGAAAGGACGGAAAGGTGCAGCTGGCTGCAGCAAAAGCGCGAATTTTGTTCACAATTAGATTCTTTACACAGCAACGCCAAAATGTGTCTAGCATTTTTTACGTCTTTGTGCCTTCACAACTAAGTCGCTTTATGCCATCTACGATAGAATCTGCCAAGGTTTTGCCCGCATAGTTTGCGGAAAGCAGCATTACTATGACAGGAATCGCGTTGGACGTGTGCACACTTTCAGGGTTCTGTCAGTTACGTCGTTGCCATACATAATCGGGTCAAGAAAGACTACGGTTTCGTCCACAGCAGTTGCGGCAACAACAACCACATGCACTGCAGAAGGCAGTGCGTGCGCTGGTCACGTGCGTACTTCCTTGGATTCAAGTACGCTGCTCTCGGCCTTCGTTCGACGGTTTCGGTACTATCACCTATGGAGGAAGGAATATACTGAAGAGAGGCTGTTACACCACATTTTGTGAAGCCGGAGAGTAAAGGACTCCACCACACAAAGGAGGAGTCCTTTACTTTGCGCAACAAGAGGGAGGCGAGCCGATTTCAGACGCCCCGGCTGAGCGGCACCATCTTCGCCATCTGATAGATGAGCTGGAAAAGCGAAACCTATGTGCTGATTATGAGCAAACGTGTTCCCATACTCGCTTCTATAGCATCTGTGTGCCATTCGCATCCTCATTACTGCTTATAATGTCAATCTACAGTACATTTGCAGATTCTCACATCCGTGTTTAATCCGCTGAATGCAAGAGAGCAACAGCCTGAATCGGCCAGATAATCGCTACGACAGGGTAATTTTCTTCTGCGGATACGGTAAGCTTGTGGTACGGAACATAATTCAACAGTGAAATGCTAGTTAATTTGTCATGCTATTTCATTCTTTGCCATGTGTATCACGATACAAGCGCAGGAGTATCGTTCCCAGCAGCACAAGTCGGCTGACTGTGACCACATCGAGGGGGGGGGGGGGAACTTAGCCGAAGATGAAGTTACCGCGAGCAAAACGTAAAGAGGAAGCGATAATTGAATAAATAAATTACCTTACTGTGTCAGGCACATCTATTTTTGACTCTGCAAGCTCCAGTAAGAACAGTGGGCCACGTACTGCTTTCCGATTGTTGTGACCGTCATACACGAGAGTGGTTTACCACTGGCTTTTGCATTAGGAGCTGTAGACGCTTCTGTTCTCGTCTATTCTAGGATTCCTTTGCTGAGGCACACAACAGCACAGTGCCGTAGGAAAACAACAAAGCAGCGGCGCCAACCATTTTCAGAGAAGTGGTCGTGTGCTTTTAAAACGACCACTTTCGACCTCAAGTGATAGTAACTAAACTCGCAAACATGAAGACTAATGCTCACTGTAGGCTTATAACACATTGCAAGCAACACCTTTGAAGTGCAACAGCTGCATAAAAATGCACACTCATAACTCCAGCTGGCTATCAACAATGCGGTCATACAAAGGGTATGCAGACAACTAGAGACGCTGGCGTGCCCACCAAATCCCACAACCCCCCTAGAAAAGCATGTGACTTTCGCCACACTTTTTGCTCTGCAGCCCGCGTTGCGAGGGCCTCTCAGCTTTCCTTCCTTCATGGTATCACCCGCTGTGATTAGGAAATGTGTTCAGAAGATTTGAATTGAGGCTCAATTAACACGGTGGAATTTTACGAATTCTTATCTGCCGCGGTTTCGCATCCCCGAGATTCTACAGTATGTTTAGATGAATGCCTCTTAAGGGGGGATGCTACACCTTCCAAAAACTCTTTTACTTTTGCGAGTACCTCAGTCAAATTTGGAGAGCCTATGTAGATTTTACTGCTGATTTCAAAAATCTAATTCTTTTTTTGCTGTGACAATTAGTTTTAAAGATATAATGAACTGCGACTTTTCCAATTAAGGCCTAATTAGCTAATTAACTGTAACTTGGATATTGATGTGCAACCTATAGAACCAATTCGGTATGTTCACAGTGTGCAATAAAGTATAAATCATTGTTCTGGGCTATTTCGAAGCAAAGTTGTGGGATGTTGAATATGACATGAAAAATTTCCCCATCTACACTTGAAACAAAAGATCCATTTAGAGAATTTTCTCCAAAAATTATTACAATAAAACTTACTTAACGACACATCCCCTGCATTTATCTTCGAAACAAAAAAGAAATCGTAATGATAACCCAGATAGAACAAGAGATATTGCTCCGGCATAATGGGAAGCACATGAAAATTGTCGTTTTGAGAAATCGAGAAAAAACGTGGGCACACATTTTTATTGCAGAAGATGCAACAAGACAACCTCAAAACGCACCAGAAGCATAGTCTGAATGCATTCTGTGCTCATGCCTCCTCTTCACTAGCTTCCGGAGTTCCAATGAGGCTGTTCTTTTCTTGTTGGAGACAATGCTGCGACGGTGGTCTTTTTCTCTCGCTCTCCTGGCACCAGTACTTGTCGCATTCATGTCCATTTCACCTAAGATTGCCGTTGCAGAATTCAAATTGCCCGTGTTGAAGCGCAGCACTGCTTCTGCAACAGCTGCTTCAACAGCGAACAGGGACGCATGGTGCTCCTTGGGGGCCAAACTCCAGATTACCGAATGTAGGCTCTCGTTGGAGTTCTGCGTTTTGCCGCGTTCGCACCTCTGAAGCAGGGCTCTTTCCGAAAGCCGGGTATAAACCGGTAGTAATGCCTCTGCCACGTCTTTCGGTAGATTGTAGGCATGCCTGGGGTCGGGCTCACCCTTTGCTTTTGCGGCATTGTGCCGACACCATGAAGTTTCACCAGCTGGGCACAGACTGTGGTCCGAGCATTCATCAGTGGAGGTGACGTGGCGGTATGTGGCCATCACAGCCTTTTGCATCTCGCCCACGTCAACTTCATGCGATTTCAGAGCCCGGCCATAATATGTGCTCAGCCTGGTGATCAGCTCACCTGTGAGCCTGCCTTTCCCACCAAGGTCTCTTTTCCCATCGCACTTTTGTTTCTGCACCAGGTTTCTCAATGCGGTGCCCATCCGTTTCTGTACATGATTAATTAATACAGTCTTCCTTCTGCACGTCAATGTAACCATACACCTTGGCGTCTTGTATGGCGCAAAATGTCCTAGAGTCTCCATCAGACAGCATAGTTGTGTAGCGCAGGCCATGGCGTTCAAGCGACCTCTGAAATAGAATTAGAGCCGCCTCCACTTCCATTTGCCCCGCTTTGCTGTTCGTATTTTTTTGGCATTTGTGGTTAGCCTTCCATTCTTGATAGCCCTCACTACTAGGCTTTGGGCCCACCTCGCAGCCTAGGCAAAAGTTGGAAAGAACGACGTAGTCCAACACGTAGCCACTAAATAATTCGATAACTGTGCCCACGCCGATGTGGGAAGAATGGCCTCGCGTCTTCCACGTGCCGTCGTAGCTAACGGCAATATTGCCCCGGTGACCGAAGCACAAGTCATCATAAATTGTTCTAACCTTTTCCGCACATTCGCTCATAGTGGACTCAGCCGCTCGCGTTGCAGCGGGTGCCAGCGTGTTCTTCAAATGCCGCTGAAACGTCTTGTGGTGCATACCGCGGTGTGAGATGCCCATTGTTGCGAAAATATCGTTCATTTTCGTTTGGCCGTTGCCGGTAGCCACCATCGCCCTCGAAGCGAGAAGATTTACTTCAAACGGATTGCACGTTTTCGTGCCGTTCGCGCGGGGCGAAGTCCATTCATTCGCGATCTCGCCGCACCTTTCATACTGCACTAGCACTTTCACGGCAAGTCCGTAGTCCCGATCCCCTCTGACGATCGTAGCCGGTCCGTGGCAGGCTTTGCAACACAAGGCACCCATTATCGCGTTTAGGATATCTAGATGCATAAGCAGATAAGGAGCAGCATGGTCAGAGTCCTGTGCGGTTGCCTCGCTACAACTCGCGGTGAAAAAGTCAATTTTCCGTGCAGTTGCTGGCGCCGATGAAAGCCGGTCGAGCGTCGCTTTCTCCCGGGCATGATTTTCTTCAACTTCAGCGTTTGTCACCACCTTGGCGTCGATTCGTAGTCGTCCGGAGTTCGCTTCACCGTCATCGTCGTCGGAGGCAACGCGCTCGGTCGCACCATCGCTGAACGGCTGCGGAGCGTCGACACATCGTTCGTCGGAGTCAACCAAGGGCTCTGATGACTTCGTAGACTTTCTCCCACGACCTTTGCGTATCCTGCGACCAAATGCGTGCACGGTCCGATACTTTTTTGCGTTTCCAGGCATGGCGATACGATCAGAAGCTTCAGAGTGCTCAGCCGATTTCGAGGCGTCACAGCGGTAACCCTTTCAAAATGGCGTCGGGTCGCGTATGCAGGCGCAAGCCGCGAGCTTCCAGCCAACCGGAAAGCGCCATTTCAGTCACGTGCGCCGTTTAGCCAATGGCAGTGAGCGCGGCTCTTCGTCTTTGAGGCCCCGTTTTTCGAGCTGGGGAAACGCTCAATGTTGCTTACTGAATAAAAAAAACAGCTGAAAACGCGTTCTTTCAAACAAGACCAAAATGGCGCCGATCGAGCGCGTAGTTCCCGCGTATCGTAGAGCCGAAACCTGCGCTATTCGCCCTCAATTTAAAGGGCAGGACGCCCGTTTTCGGTTTTTTAAAGTTGAATAACGATAAAAGTTGATGGTATTCGGCTATGAAATTTTGTAAATAGGTGCGCAATGATGTCGGGAACGCGAAAAGAACGTCCGCGAAAACTCGATTTTTTGGCTGATTTTCGGTCCCGAAGTGCCGCGTCCCCCCTTATGATGATGATATATGGTGTTTTTTGGCGCAAGGGCCATTTGTTGGCCAAAGAGCGCCATTTCATCTTACTAAAAATATGGACAATGATTGTGATAAGCGGCTGTATAAGGGCCATAAAATTCCTCACGATAAGGCGGGTAAGAACATACAAGTAATAAAATGATGACCATGCCGTGAAAGATGTGTGTGGTGTGAATGATGACAAAAGTTGGTGATAATAAGACGATGGTGGATATGTATGGCATTAGCACAAGTGCCTCACTCGTTCATACCCTTGCGTCCAAGGGACGTGAGGCATGTGCTTTCCTGTGTAGCCACCGCAGCAAAAACCTCTCAAGAGAGGTCGTGCTACGGTATGCCCGGGTATATGATATGAAAATTATGAATTCCCTTTAAAAACGCTAATAGTGATTTGTGACTAAAAAGCGGTTCCCTACCGACGAACATTGCAGGGTGTAAAGGTATATGTTGTCGGTAGGATAGTGGGAAGTGGTGTCTCCTTAGACTGTCTAAATGTTTACATTGAATTAAAACGTGAAGAACTGTTAATGTCTCACCACATTTATCACACAATGGTGGATCACCACCGGATAAAAGATGTGTGTGTGTCGTGTATGTGTGTCCTATCCTGAGTCTTGTTAGTGTTACCTCTGTTAGACGTGATTTTGATACTGGTGGCCAATGGCCAAGGTGTGGCTTGATAACGTGTAGTTTGTTTTGTGTGTGTGTATCCCACTTGCTCTGCCAGTAGTCTCTGAGGTTTCGTTTGAGAGACGGCTTAAGATCAAGGGCCGGGATTGATATAGATGTAATGGCGGTGCTCTCATGGACGGATGCAGCGAGCTGATCCGCCCTCACGTTGCCTTGGATCTCACGGTGCCCTGGCACCCAGCACACTACAACATGTTGTTTGTGTGTGTAGAGTGTGCACCAAATGGAGTAAAGTGAGACAAGGACTGGGTTTTTTTGTTTTTTAAGACTGTGCAGAGCCGTTACCACACTGAGGGAGTCTGTATAAATTACTGCTTTTTGTATTTGTAATTGTTTGATGTGTTTAGCTGCCACCAGTATCGCGTAAGCTTTTAAAAGTATTTAAAAACAAAATGTTTAAAAGCCATGAATGTTATAAAAGTGTTGTCACGTACTACGTGGGGTAGTGATAGGCAATGCCTCATGAACCTCTATAGAAGCCTTATTCGTACCCGCTTAGATTATGGGGCCGTTGTCTATCAGTCTGCCACTCAAAGTGCCTTGAAAATGCTGGACCCCGTGCACCATTTGGGCATCCGCCTTTCTACGGGTGCTTTTCGCACCAGCCCCGTAGAAAGCCTTTACGTTGAGTCAAATGAGTGGTCGCTTCATCTGCAAAGAACCTACATGTCCTTTGTATATTTCCTTAAGGTGAAAGCAGACAAGAGGCACCCCTCATACTCTACTATTAATGACTTGGCGAGCTCCATTCTTTTTCGAAATAGGCCTTCAATGAGGCAGCCCTTCTCAGTTCGCCTGAAGGGTCTAGCTGAGGACACTGGAGTGTCACTCGAACACAGTTTAATGGCTCCTGTAGCATACCCGCCACCGTGGCAGTGGCAGACTATAGACTGCGATGTGTCTTTCCTAGAGGTTACAAAACATGCACCTATTGCCCATATCCGAACACACTTTCTGGAACTTCAACACAAATACACACGTCCCGAGTTCTTCACAGATGCCTCCAAGACTAACTCCTCTGTGTCCTACGCTGCTGTCGGCCCATCCTTTTCGGATGCTGGCCCTCTACATCCACGCACAAGTATCTTCACAGCGCGTCCCCCCTTAAATTAATTTATAATAAAAAGGGTATAAATGCAAAACACCTGGAGAGGATTGAGCTGCTTTTTTGTCAATGTGGCCAGATCATGCACAGAAATTTCGATTCCCGGGAGATTTATTACAACCGTACAAATGGAAGAAACGATCAAAACGGTCAAATGGACTGTGTAGCGGAGAGGCTCCGCTATGCAGTCGCTGTCTTTAGAAAGTGTCGGCACTAGAAATTTCCGCGCGCAACTTCTCTTGCCATGAGAATGCTGAAGCCGAAGTAGAAATGCTTTGCAAGCTGCATGCGAAATTGATTGACTCGCTGCAAGGCAAATGTGTGCAGACGCGCATCATCGATTACTTCATTTAATAACGGATGTTCTGTGATTTGTGAATAAATGTAAGTTTTCTGAAACTCACCCTTGTGTGTTAGCTCAATGCACATGTGCCACTGCATGAAGAGCCCTCCGTTTATTTAGCTTTCATTAATTCGAATTTCTTTTAATTCAAACAAATTTTTGGGCCCCCTCGAGTTCAAATTGTCGAGATTCGACTGTACCTCATTGACTCAAAGTCGTAAAAAACAGAGAAAAATTAGAGATTTTCAAAATAAACATAGTTGCGCTATTTGCCGGGAAAAATGAGCGCTTTTCAGTAAAATCACTACTGTACTTACAAGCTCTCCAGCTGCAGTGTCTACTTTTTCTTTTCGTACAGGTTTAAAAGAGAAAAATATAACATTAAAAGAACCTTCAACGACTGGGTTTTGCCACACAGCCACACCATCAACGCCGCTTCAACGTCTGGGAACTTCGACCCTCGAACCCGCTTGCACTGGCTGGAGAAGCACTGCTGAAATCCATCCAGCAAACTATGCCAAGTGTGGGCAGAGGGCCTACTTGCTCTGGGCATGTGTCTCATGACGTACCACAGGGTTGCTTGATAAAGTTGATATGTCGCTAGGCTGAGATGTCAAACACTTCGCATTCGTGGCAAGCGTCAACGTAATGGCAGGTGCGGCTGAATAAAAAAAAAATAATCGACGGACTTCAGGCATAGCAGCATCGCGCGAACTTTGTGAAATGGTGTGGCGACCAAATTTTCGTTCCACTCCCAGTCACGATTTTGAGTTATCCGCATTCTGACCCAAAAATACTGCGAGATAAAGGAGAAAATATACATGGGACGTATAGGAAAATATTCGGTGCCACGAATTTCAGATTAGCCGATTTTTCGAGATATGCGAGTTCAAGTTAATGAGTTATCACTGTAGTTCCGTTTTCAATCTGCGCACTGGCTGTGGACATGCCTTCAGAACTAAGTCGCTGATACCCGTGATCGCATGAATGCAGTTTTGTTCACCGAGTTATGGCAAGAGTCTGTCTGCCTGTGATGCATGCGAACTTTTGTGATCGCTAATAATCACTTCAACACGACCGCATTTGTGTTCAACAATGGTTTCGCATGACCCCTTCAAAGTCGCATAATCAAGGTTCCACATTCAGGACTGTGCATGTAAGGCACACTCCTGAATCTCAATGAATTCTTCCGGAAGATGCACATGCTTGGATGTCATAGTGCGAGCACGATCTGCGCGCAAATTCATACCGCTTGCCGTTTCTCTGGTTTTGCCTTCTTGACAGAACCATGGCTTGAACTTGAAGCGGATGAGGAACTGGAAATGGACCCGGCTGGAGACTCGGAACGGTGCCTATTTGGAGACACAATAAGGGAGAAGGTATTAGTGATGTGGTTAAAATTATGTGAAGCGAAAATTTGTAAACTGAAACAATGATGGAAATGTTCAGGTGCACTTCACAGCCATTTATTTAGCAGGTAAAATATCCATTACAGTTGAGTCCCTTCATAAGAGACACTTGGGGTAGGAATTGAACTGAAATGAGGATTTGGTACACTGCCTGTTAGACACACCTCATATATGAACAAGAACTGCTCCTCGGTGCATGTCTCTTGTGAAGGACTTTAGCTGTAGTAGCAGCTGAATTTTTCTCAGCAGATGATCCAAGAAGGCAGTTAGAACTGGAACGAATCCACCTGTATGCTATATTGTCCCTCCAGCCTTTTCTCATTTTTGGTTGCTTGTGTTGTCCATTCTTACAGCATGCAAAATCAAAAATAAAGCATAGAATGACTCACCATTCCAGGATTATTATGTTAACAATTAATCATACAAAAATATTAATAGTAATAATTAAAAAGAAGGCCAGGAGCCCTTGTTTCAGGAAAATGGGGGCACGCGAAGCTTGGCATGTGTGCGCCTGATGTTCTTTCTTTCTATCACACAGTGTTATGCCACCTCTTAACTGTTTCCTCCTTCAATGACAGGAACTGAACTGTCATACACATGTTCAGCAGTGCAACACTTTAGTTTACTACAGGAAACAATAACAATCACGTGTTGATATTAAGGCAACAACGAAATCACAAGTTGTCTCAATAAACTTGAGAAATGATCAGATTGATGCATAAACGGCTGACCGACAACAGGGCCGCGATAGAGAGGGCATTAATTATTTGAAAATAGTCACATGCGTATAAACAGCATGTGACCAATGCATTCAATAGCTGCATTTTTTGGGCTTTGGAAGTTGTTTTTTAGGGGGCAAAGCTCCTTAAGGCGTGGGTCTCTCCATCCTCCGTCGTCGTACGTAGCCACGGGGATGCGAGATAGATAGCGGTACTTGGAGTGTTCACTAGATGGATGCACGGACGGACAGACAGACTAGAAGACGGACGGACAGGACTGATGAATGGAGGCACAGACAGACGCATGAATGGTCGCGCGGACAGACGGACGAAAGCAAGGACAGGCTGACGGACGCTTCGCCCCACTCATCGTTTACTCGGTGAATATGCTGCAATTTTTTTTTCTTTTTAACCGTCATACGTGCAATACCAGCGGTACTTGTGAGGCAATAGAAGCTGCACTGAAACAACCCTTTGCGTCAGTGCCCAGAAGCACGTTAGTGCATTGACTGGTAAGAGAAGTGTGGAATCATTGCAGGAACACTTACCGTCTGTGCCTATGAGACTCTGGACTTCGGTGATGGTGTGAAGGGTGCCTCCCGTGGTGTGGGGACTTGCGCCTTCGAGGACTGCGCGATCTTCTTGGTGATCGAGACCTGGGTTTATTAATAGCATACCGATGCAAGTTACAACTTGTCTGCAAGGTCCTAGTGGCTGTCCCTCCCTATTTTACCCACTTTCAAACCTTAAATAAAAATTCTTCTAGAATTTACACTTTCAACTGATAGCATCCTTGTAAAGATTTACCAGACTTATCTGGCTGGAAGTTTCAGGTTGTTTGGAATACTACATCACAGATGCAGAATGCTATGCAGTTTCTCAATGCTCTAGCATGCTACTATGACAGTTCTTTCTGCAGGAGGTGATGTTGCTAAGCTGTGGGCTCTCATAACTCAACTTATGACCTCCTCGTGAAAAAGCCAGAATTTCTCCAAAACTACGGTGTCAACCTACTTTACCAGAGATCCTAAAACTGAATTTAGTGAATGGAATTCTGACGTTCTGAAAGTGGTCTCAATAATTAGGAATTTTAATCCACCCCCATTCGTTGTCACAATATATCGATTCTCAACAACGCTGCACACTCACAGCCACTTCTGAATTTAGCTGTGACAGCTAGGACTTGCGATTTGCATCACCATTTACGTACACATGCTCACCCACTGAGATTTGTAAGAGCCTGGTAATTCCAACTGCAGTTGCTACTGTACCTGCGACGTCGATCTTTGGTTGGCGGAGTGCGCTGCCTCCGTGGGCTCTCGGGCCTGTGCTTTTCTGTACTCTCTTTCCGAACTTCAACTATTGGTGATGGAGCTCTAGAAAGAGAAGGCATGCTTGAACAAACTGCTATTCTATGCTGCAAATCTACAGCAGTAAAAAGAGGCAATCAGCTGAGCTTCCCTAAGGAAGATAAATAGGTGAATTCCTAGATCACACTGCCATAATACTCTGAAAGACTACAATATTTCATGAGTTTTGTGCCCTCAAGAATTTCCTCAAGGGGAGACACTGCTCTTAAAATTTTTTTATATTTTTTGGATTTTATTGAAGCTGGGTGAGCTAATATTATGTGTGTGCTAATTTTCAATAAGTAGTTTTCTTTTATGTGTAGTTGTTAAAATACAAAATATTTTTGTGCCTTTTGGGGAGCAAGATTGTTCATAAACTGAGAGTTGATTGATTGATTGATTTGTGGGGTTTAACGTCCCAAAACCACTATATGATTATGAGAGACGCCGTAGTGGAGGGCTCCGGAAATTTTGACCACCTGGGGTTCTTTAACGTGCGCCCAAATCTGAGCACACGGGCCTACAACGTTTCCGCCTCCATCGGAAATGCAGCCGCCGCAGCCGGGAATCGAACCCGCGACCTGCGGGTCAGCAGCCGAGTACCTTAGCCACTAGACCACCGCGGCGGGGCCATAAACTGAGAGTGCTACAATGTAAATTAGCATGTCACAATAATCAAGAATCAAATCTGACTGCAAAGCAACAAAAATGGATGTTCTAAACCAATTTGATTAAGCGTCATAATACCGTATTTACTCGCATAATCCTCGCACTTTGTTTGCCGGAAAACTGATGCAAAGGTGGGGGGTGCGAGAATTACACGGGGAAAACTTTCCACGAAAACGTACAGAGCGAAAAAGAAAACGAAGTGGCCGCAAATCGGGATTCTCACACCAGCAACTTACAGCAAGCTTTAAGAAGTACTAATTAGAACTTACCTCAACAATAAAAGCAGAGATACAACACAAGACAAGATTTATTAAAGACACAAAAAGTGGAAGCAAATACCGTATACACGCGTGTAAGGGCCGCACCCGTGTAAGGGCCGCATCCCGTTTTTAAGAAGCACATATTCAAAAAAAAAAAAAGTTGTGTGTATGGGCCGCATCCGCACTTTCCTTGACCCATGCGTATTCAAAATGCACGCGCGTGTGTGAGCTACTAGGCGTTGTCAGTAGATGGCGTTAGAGAACGCAATTCTCATCATCACCATATAGTACATCATTAGAATAATTTGTTGGTTTTCTTCATGCTAATATGTTCATGAAGTTGGCTAAAAATTTTTAGTTTTTTTAGTAGTGTTCATACACCCGCCAACTAAAGGTTAAAGCAGGATTTTATCTTTAACTTCTGACACTTCTATACAAACGCGCTATCCATATCGGCATTAGCATCACCAACTTTGGTGTTTGTGCGTTGTTCGGTCATTGTGCTGTTCAGCCTGCCATGTGCTCGAGTTTTGCGCACCGTTGAATGACTCTGGGACTCCAGCTAGTTTTCTGCGGGACGTTTACGTTTTCGCACGATGGGCAAGCAGCTGAATAGCTATACAGCTCTGGCTATAAGTTGAAGGTGATCGAGTTTGCCCTCGAGCACGGGAAACGGGCCGCCGGCAGAAAATTCGACGTTGACGAGAAGTGTGTTCGACGTTGGTGCGCCCAGAAGAAAGCCTTGCAGAACACCAATATCAAAAAGCGCGCTTTCCGAGGAAAACAGTGCAAGTATCCCGATTTGGAAGAGGGGTTGCTCCGCTATGTGACTGAGGTGCGGAACGATGGTTTTGCGCTCACTACAGACATGCTGCGCATGAAGGCACTAGCCTTGGCACGTGCGAAAACTATACCGGCTGGGGATTTCAAGGCTAGTGCTGGCTAGGTGCGAAGGTTTATGAAAAGAAAGGGACTCTCTTTTCGGCGAAGGGCCACGCTGTGCCAGCGGCTGCCAGAAGACTATACCGACAAGGTGCTTAGTTTTCACAAGCATGTCATCGGCCTGCGCCATCAGCACAGTTATTTGTTGTCGCAAATAGCGAACGCTGATCAAACTCCTGTGTGGTTTGACTCTCCCGAGAACTACACAGTCGAAGTAAAAGGCAAGAAGAGTGTCGCCGTGTGGACCACCGGCGCTGAGCGCCAACGCTGCACCGTGATGCTTTGTGTGACCGCGGACGGGCGGAAGCTACCCCCGTACGTTGTTTTGAAAAGGAAAAGAATTCCGAACGAAGTTTTCCCCAAGGGCATCATAGTTAGAGCCCAAGAGAAGGGATGGATGAACGATGATTTGGTGCTAGACTGGGTGAAAAGTGTTTGGCAGAACAGACCGGGAGCTTTGTTGGCCAAACATTCACTTTTAGTATTGGATAGTTTCCGCGGCCACCTTACTGATAAGGTGAAGGAGCAGCTGCGCCGTGTCGGCACAGACATGGCCGTGATTCCAGGCGGCCTCACAGGAATGTTGCAACCATTGGATGTGAGCGTGAATAGACCATTCAAAGTTGAATTCCGAAGACTCTACACGGAATGGATGGCAACCGGCAACCATGAGCACACGCCGACCGGACGGCTGAAGAGGGCACCGCTTGCTACTGTTCTCGGTTGGATATTGTCGGCGTGGAGCTCGGTGTCGACGGACATTGTGTCCCGAAGTTTTAAGGTCACTGGGATATCCAACAGCCTGGATGGCACCGAAGATGACTGTTTGTGGAATGATGGTACTCCGCAACACACTATCTCGGACTCCGAGTTAGAGGACTCGTCGAGTGACGACGATTAAGCGCTACGTGGCATACTGCAATAAACGCTCTTCGTTCACTAACTGGTACGTTGTTTTTAGTTCACCAAAAAAAAGTTCCGTGTATGGGCCGCAACCTGAAAATTAGCCCTCACTTCCTGAAAAAAAAAGTGCGGCCCTTACACGCGTTTATACGGTAGTCGAGAATAAGAATACCGTACGCAAAGCTTGGGGGCGTTGCAGGCGTAACGGTAGCGTTCGTCGCTCAACAGGAGCCCTCAAAAGGTAAGCGTGGGATGTCAGTATTGGGCTGATGGCTATTTAACAGAAACGCCCACAGTTTCCTTCTGGAGAAATAAAGTTTACCATCAATCCCAGTTTTAGGCACACGGCAGGCCTAACGCGCCTTGGTGGCTTTAAGCTGCCGTCACCAGTAGCGAACACAAAACTCGTAGACTCCGAAGGGCTACCGGCGGCCCTGTTGCCGTTGTTTAGTGCATGATCTATCACTTGCAACTTGAAAGCAGCTGTGCAGCTTCAGTATCGCCTCATAACGTGACAAGATTACCGACACAACATACAAAACATGCTGCAACGCACACTGACAACTTTGGCTTGGCTTGGATTGAATCTCTGTGCAATAGTACGCTTGATGCTTAAGAGATGGCACCAGATGGCGTGCGCTATCATCATCAGTGGCCGGAAAGAGCAGACGACATTATGGCAGCAGTTTTCGGGGGTGCGATAATTACTCGAGGGAAAAAATCGTATTTTTGTTGGGCGATGTGGGGGGTGCGAGAATTATGCGAGTGCGAGGATTACGCGAGTAAATACGGTACGTTGGACATAGAGTGAGTCAAATTCAAGCTAGGATTTCACTGGCAAACGTTCAACATGCATGAACTTTTCTTTTAATGGGTTTAGAACATCCATTTTAGTTGCACGGCAATCAACTCCGATTATTGTGATATGCTGATTTACTTGTGACTTTGCAAGTCTAGAAATATAATATCTTGCCCCCCCCCCCCCCCCCCCAACAAGCTAATAAAATATTTTGTAATGGCATATATGAAACCAGTACACACATATTTATAAAACGTCAAGTTTCATCACTATTGATCAAGAAATAAAAAAAATATTTTTAAGTGTCATGTCCCCCCTTGATATGGTATTACTCTTCAGATAATTTAGTCTCGGTTTCACGAAGAAGATTCTAACAGAGTTATTTATACATACAGTACATGCTCACCTTATGCAAAAACTGTATTCAGCCAACATGTGCATCATGCAAAGTGAACATTCTACAATAGATTCCGGATAAAAAGGACCAGGAAAATGTTTTGATAAAAGGGAGTTTCAATTTACCAATCATTTTAGGGGTAGTCCCATTTAAACGGCTACTTCGTTTAAAAGAGTTGTGTTTACTGAGAGTCTACTCTAATAACTCATAAATGCAAGTTCAGCCAGATGTGCATTGCATAAAAACAGGCAATATCTTGTAATTAAACACACTTCTCTTTGGGCCTTGGCTCTGACACATCTCTCCGAGGTAGAGGCTCAAGCTCCTTCTCGACAAACACCCTGTGTGGCCTTTCCTCGGCTGGCTTTTCCCTTGGCTTGACCTCGGAATGGTTTGGCCTCTCTTTTGGCTTCTCCGGTGATCTGTCTCGTAGAGATGCAGCTGCAGCTTCCCTTGCCCTATCAACCATTTTCTCCCGCTCACGTTCTTCTGCTCGTCTAGCGCTGTCATGCATTCTCTCTTGCTCCTCCTAATGATGGGAAAAAGAAATCCCCATTAAAGAAGAAAGGAACTCCCAAAATGCTTCTACCTTAGTATGGAACTGAATACAGGTACAAGCTGCTGTACTGAGCAAGGTATCGGTAATGCGTTTCACACTGCGACAAACTTGGTTTTGGTTTAGTACTCAACTCGCCATGCAAAACATACTTTCCGTTATCTTAGCCGCACGACATGAGTGAGATTTAAAATTTATTACTATCACCTGAAAAATCAGCGAAATATCAAGTTATACATAAAAATTTACCGAGATTTGTTATGTCTAATGTTGTCGTCGGCTGAAGGACGTATGCATTGGGTGCGGTGGTCCAAAAAGCATAGATTGTCTGGATGGGTAATCACGTGTTTATTCTCACTCGAAGGTGGCAGCCGAACTAGCCGTGAGAAGCCGAGTCGAGACTTGCTTGTAATGGGTGGGGGAGAAGTTGTCCACCGGACACTTGCAGGTATGGACGCCTGCAAGGTCGTCCGCTGCAAAGCCCCAACCGCTTAGACGGTTGAGGCTCGCTCGGGAACAAAGCTGCGTGTGGAATTCTGGACACAACATCTCCTCCCTCCTTAGATTGTTGTTTGAAAGCGGTCTGGGGGTTGTCGTGGGCACCTGGACGCTCTGGGTACGTTCAAAGAAGCCCCCGCTTATTGCGTGTCATTGTCCTTGTGTTCCGGTGCAGCCGGCGCCGGTGCTAATTTATCTTGGGCGAGACTCCAGGCTATGTGTGACGACGCTTCTGTCGAGGTGCTTGCTTGAAAGGGAGCCTCCCTTGGCGTATTAACTGACCGATGTAGTTAAGGTGGCGGCGAGTGGCTTTTCCGTCGCTTCGATCCAGCCAGGGCTTTTGTTGAAGTAGCGCGAGTATACGCCTTGTCCAATGTCAATTCTTCCGCAACGCGGAAGCTTTTCTTCCCTCGATGACGTTTCCAATGAGGGCACTGGGATACCGTATTTTTGCGCGTATAACCCGCCCCTGCATATAATTCCGCACCCCCACATTCAGCTCACCGAGAAAGCAAAAAAAATCCTCACGTATTGCCCGCACATTTGATATACAGGAAAGGCTGTACAAAAGCTACTGCTCAAGCAACATAGCACATATGTAGACAGAAAAAGCTTTATTTAGCAAGCAGAATACGCTGTCTGTAAGGCCAGTCACAATTCACTCACTGTCGCTGCTCTCGCTAGAGCTATCACTTGAGCCGCAGTCCTCACTATTATGCACAAGGTCATCTTCGGTTCCATCCATGTTGTTTGTGATGCAGCATTTCTTGAAACTTATTTGCACCATCTCACCTGGAATGGCCTTCCATGCCTCGACAATCCACTTGCAGAATAGGCAATATCAGGCCTTCGGACTCGTCCTGTAGGCGTCAAGTCGTAGCAGCCTTCGGTTATCCACTCGGCGTAATAGCGCTTGACATGCGCTTTGAAGGGCTTGTTAAGCGACACATCTAGAGGCTGCAACATTGACATCATTCCACCGGGTATAACAGCTAAGTCGGTGCCGTTCCGTGAAAGGCGGTCCTTCACTTCCTCAGTTGTGTGGCCGCGGAACGAGTCAAGAATGAGCATGGACCTCTTTGTGAGCATCGAACCGGGCCTCTTCTCCCATACCATCTTGATCCAGTCTACGAACAAGTCACTGTTTATCTACGCGTTCTCGTGTGCGCGCACCACCACACCGGCAGGCAAATGAACCTTTGGTAGAGTTTTCCTTTTCAAGATGACGTACGGTCGCAGTTGCGTGCCGTCAGCGAGGGCACAAAGCAAGACTGTGATGCGCAGTTTCGTGTTCCCGCTGGTCAGCACGCTCACCGAACTGCTGCCCGTCTTCTCAATCGTTGTGTCCAAATGCATTTCAAAATAAACAGGAGTTTCATCCGCATTGCCGATTTGCGAGATAATGTAATTGTGCTGCTTTCGCAGGCCAATTACATATCTCTGGTACTTGAGCAGCTTCTCCTCATAAGCAGCTGGCAAGCGTTGACATATTGTAGTCCGCCGTCTGATTGAGAGAGAGCCCTTGCCGCTTCATAAAGCGGTGCAGCCATCCGCGGCTCGCACGGAACTCGTGAGGTAGGCCTAGCTCCCGCGAAAGTCGCCGCGCTTCCACATGGGCCATCTCGGTCGATACGGCGTGACCCCTGCTTCTCACATCTTCGATGAACCTTGCTAGCTCCGCCTCGAGCTCAGGGTAGGCACCGGTCTTGGGGCCACGAAATGACCTACGGTCGCGGTGCGCGGCTTGTAGGCTCTCTTTCTTCTTTCTCCACAGTCGCACGCAGGACCCGTCCACATCGTGCCGTCTTCCCACTTCGCCATTTCCGAATTCCTCGGCGACGGCGATGATCTTAAGCTTTTGCTGTGCCGTGAAGGCCTGCCGCCGTACGCTACTCATGGTGACAGAACAGATCGACTTAGGCTTGGCGAACGGGTGGAGATGTGGAGAACTAGCGGTATTAGCGAGGTAAAGAGCGCTCACACTCGGCGACAACTTGACAGCACTACCCCTTCTAGTACACTGTAACAGCACCCTGGAAACAACAGAACCGAAATGCATGCCTGCTACCGCATCAAAAAGTAGGACACTATCTACTGATAATATCTCTATAGGCACTATAATATCTCATTTGCCTTGCTGAAATAAATACTGCTTTATTTATTATGGAACTTACTTTATTTATTATGGAACTTTCTTAGACAGCAACACCTTTTCGGCAAGCCCTTTCCAAAAGTAAACATGGCGTCCGTGACGTAGAGACATGTGGAGGGTCACTGAGCAGCCGCGAACGTCCAAAAAATATACTTGTGGGGTGACAGTGAGATTTTACACTGAACAATCACATTGTCTCTCCCCAAATGTTTTTTTCAACGCTTCAACGATGCAAGTAAGCGAAACCAAAATCGGCCGCAAGCTGCCATGCTACTTGCGGAGCAACACGAATTTGCCGAAACCGCCTCCGTAGCCTTCGCTATACTGTTAAGGGGCTTCACAGCACAACACGCATTGCTGTGAAGCAGCACTATAGAAAAAACTCTGCGTAATATCCGCACCTCCACTTTGGCACTGAAATTTTTGGGTTTTTGGTGCGGGTTATACGCACGAAAATACGGTAACTGTTGTCTGCTGGGTCCTCATTTTTCAGCCAAACATCAATCTTCCTGTTGTTTGCCTTGTGGTGCTTTGAACAGTGTAGGGCTGCCTGAAGAGAAAGCACGCAATCCAGCGTTGCATCATTCCAGTCTGATCTTTTCTAAGGGCACGTTTAAGCACTGCCATGTAGCGTTCGGCTTGTCCGGTCTTCGCCGGATGGTATCGAGCTCATGTAACAGATTAAATACCGTTTTGGGTGAATCTCCGTGGACACAAACGGAGCACCACTGTCTGAGACTACCTTACGTGGTAGGTCGAACGTTGTAAACAACGACTGGAGAGTGTCGATGACTGCTGCCGATGTTGTTGTAGTCATTTGCTTTACCTCAAGTCACATTGTGTGGGTGTCAACCACCACGAAAGAACACCCTTCGATAGGTACAGCAAAATCAGCATGCAGGGTGTGCCAAAGCATGTCTGGTCTTTCCCAACAAGGAATAGAGGCTCTTGGTGGGTTGCATAGACAAGTCAGGCAATCTTGTACATGGCTTTCTTATACTACCTCAATGCTGGTCCGTTGTACTGAAGTCTTCGGCCGGAGCTGTTAACGCTTGGTGATGCATGCCTTTTCAATGTGGCCCCGTTTTTGGCAAAAGTTGCAGGTAGCTGTCTTGAATACGCACACCTGGGGATTGTGCATGTCGTCGCACTGCCAACAGCGTTGTGTTTTTCTTCTTGAATTAACCGTGGTTGTGGGATGGTCTGACTGCTCACTGACGTGATGTGCCAGTTCGACGTTCTTTCGAAAATCTCTCTGATGGTGACTGTCACTCTCTGCTTGCCGGGTGATGTGGTATGCCTTGGCAAAGGTGAGAGGGGGAGCAGTTGTCATTTGGATGCCTGCAGGTACGGGGAACCGCTTCGGTTGGGGTTCGCTTGGGAACAAAGGTGCGTTGGAAGTCTCGACACAACAAGATTTTAATACTGCCAGTGAAGGAAGAGTGGGTTTGCAATACATGAAAGCTTTGAACCCTTGTTACTCTAGCTGACAACAAAGTATGAGATGTACCAACAGTTTTGCTGAACAAAAGAACTTTGCTCACAGCACAACTCTAAGAAATGTACTTCTCCTTAAGCCACAAGTCACACTTGCACTCCTAGTACATTGTTACGAACTTGCACATTTACTCACGGGAGTTGCTTCTAGTGCCTTTCGTTTTTCTATCCAACGAGCAGTACGGTGAAAATAGCAATTACACCTGTGTGAAAACTAGAAGTTGAAATAACAAGACATGAATGAAACAAAACACTTAAATGTCGAGGCAGTTAGACAGTACCAGAAAAGACCGAAAGTTAAGATTTATTTGATATCTTAGGCATTCTCTAAACTGGCCATATACATCAATTTCTAATTTAATCTGGACGGGACCAAAAAGTTGGCTGAATGTATAGAGATGCAGAATAAATAAAATGATGCGACACACAATTGATAAATATCGCAGCACTAGCATGTATTCGAACAGGCCTCCAAATCGAGTGTGCACTTACTTTCTACATGTTCAAAGCAAAAACTTCACTGCATTACAGCTACTAAACAAAGTAAAAATCAAACGTGCACTCATAGCTGGCCTCTCCATTGTCGTAAAGAAAGGATGAAGATTATCAAGTGCACATTTTCAAAAATGCAAAAGCTCTACGAAAAGCTTTCTGCATTAAAGATTGCACGTATCACTGACACTCACGACTTGTGAATTTGATGCTACAGTTTATCTAAAGAAACACTGGACCTGGCACTACTGACAATACTGTCAAAATAGAGTAATATGCAGTGATAATATTGCTTAAAAAATAATTAAAGCAAGCATGGTTGCTAAGCATCTCT